TCCTGTCTGCAGGATGAATCCCTGTGAACCTCTCAAATCTCTTCCCTGGCCTAGGCCATTTTAGAAGCTTCCTCTCCATGGACACGTACTGCATCAAAGCAACTCAAAGAACAACAAATTGAACTTTATCCATAATTCCCCTCCAAAGATAAGTTGGCATAATATTTGGAAAAAAAAAAAAAAAGATTGTGTCAACATAATAATTTTCTGGAGGAAGCAGTAACCAATTACACTGAAGAGAGAACTTCAGATGAATCCCAAAGAGCCTATGCGATTAAATCTAATCTGCACACATCAATGAAAATGCTACTGTTTATTGCTTGCAAGAAACTGACCTTGGGAAGCACTGTACACTCTGATCGACTTTTTGCAGTGTCGAAAGGATGAGACGCAGCTGCAGCAATTGAACCAGAAAATCCAGCAGCAAGACTGACAGCTAAAGGAGACAAAGGACCAATTTCATCATCAGACCTGAAGAGACAAAAAAATGTTGTCAGGAAAAAAGGGTAACTTAAAGAAAAATTTGAGTTCGAGGTAATCAGAATCAGAGTTTCGATTCTTACTAACCAAGCAACATAGAGTACTTAATGCATGCAGACACGGACACCTTTGCTGTGATGTTGATTTATATTGAATATTGTGCAACTTCCGCAGGCTAGTTTTGAAGTATTTGACAAGTATGTAAAAATTTATTACTACATAGACAGAGTGACAAAAGGAGGAGCTAGATTTAAAAGATCTTGACAGTTTACAAGTGTCTCCAGACTTCAAAGTTTCAACACGAGTAGCAGTGGAAAAAGAAACAAGGAAAGGTGACTAAATACTGAATATTAAAGTAGAACGACAGATCAAACAATAAGATGCTTCGTTTGCACCCTCAAAAAGTATCATAAGAATCTTGCCCATTCATTCTAAAGTTTCTTGTCAGGCAGCCTAAGGCATGTTTGTGTGGTAAACAGTTCATGCATATTTGTATTGTAAACAGTTCATTCTAATGAAAACAAAGACTCACTGCCAGAATCTCTTGAACCATAAATCTAATTAGCCTTTGGCCTAAATTCAGCAGTCAACAATTAAGAGTACATTGGCATCATATGATTTCACAAACTATACCCACAGCAATGCAGTATAACCTCTAACATGAAGAAAACAATGCAAAGATTATCACATCTTCTACGATTAAGAATTGCATGTATTCCAAGTCAGAAATGTAAGAAATTGATTAACAAGGCTCACAAAAGTTGCAACTGAACCACCTACACATGCATATGTAATGTTTTAAGTGGACTTAGATTCATTTCGAGCCAGGGAGGAGTACACATATGAGATCCTAAATTTAGATGGTAATTCAAGATTTGTCCGGCTAATTTTAGGCAAAACAACAACACAAGTTAAAAGTGCATTATATATTTAACAAAGAAACTATTAAAGAGGAAGGACTTTCACCAAGCATAAAAACCTTGGTGGGGGTGTCATCCCAACTGCTTTCCATTCAAGCATTGCTCTGTGCAGAAACTGCCAGCTAGAAAAAAAAATTCCACCAAATGTAGAATCTCTAGCTATTCCAGATCTCCAGCCTCTCCAAAAAGCACCTATTCCCTCGAAAGAAAATATTTGTAATGGCCATCTGACCTCAATGACTGATGGTGCTCTTCCAGAACCCGTCATCATCCAAGGATACTCTTTCAGGCCATCAATCATATTGGCATATTTGGTTGTCAATGTTGATAGAAGACCAACAGAATTGTTCATTGCCCTTATGTCTGGAGAATAACCACTTAGTAATCTAGCAATCAAGGGTGAAACAGCACCATTCTGAACAACTGGCGTGGAGTGTGATATGCGAGAAGCTGAAGTCACCTGGGCACGAAGCTTAATAATTTCAAATGGAGAGCTCAAAAATGATTCCACAGCACCCGCAGCAACTCCAGCCATTAGTGCCTCAGAGACATGTACAAAATTGTCTACTCTACCATCTGACAGAGAAAGCACCAGAAAAGGTTAGTAGTGGATGCGGAACAACAACTGGTCAACTTTCAACAATATGATGTCTAAACATGCCAAACTTTTAGAAACATTGGAGATACATGCAAGTGCACAAACAAACAGACATAAACAGTTCTGGTTGCTGAAGCATTTCTGCTATCGTGAACACGACATTTAAGGTAATACAGTAAATATTAGATATTCAGTATCGAGTTTTTCTAAACAGACAGGGATGATTCATTAAAGTGTTAAAGGGCCTTTGAGGCCAAAGAATCTTTGCTAACTCATTGACTGGTGACATATGAAGCTACCAGTTGTTTTTAGCTTACCATACAATAAATCCATCTTGGATACAATAAATCCATCTTGGATACTTTACTTCCGACACTTATAATCAGAAGAAATTAAGCAGATGCTTTGTTCTTCTTCCTTTTTTTTTCCTTCTCCTGTTTGATTAAGTACTAAAGTTTATCTACCTCTCTATCGACGATGACACTTTTTATAAACCGACTGTACATTATTGTGGATTCTAGGGGAAAAGTAGATTAGGCTTTTCTTCTCCTTCTCTCTAGTAATTTTGTCGATTATTAGCCAGGAATAGATGTGAACATACTTTATCTATATTCTCTTGACAAATTTAAACAGGTAGAGTATTGTTCTGTAAGAAGAAAAAACAAACACTTCAGATATTTTAAACATTATTTCGCACAAAGATGATCCTGGCTGCAAAGATTAACTCCACCCATGTTTCTGGAATATGCTTATCCTATGAATTAGTATAATTCAGAAACAAATAGTGGGGCTAGCAATAACGGAACAGTTTCTAACTTGTTATATTCTGTTTAAAAGGAAAGTAATTTGCATGACATAATAACACTTCCTTAAATAGATGAATTCCATATACACCAGTGGCCAGAGAAGGACTTTTAGAGTCTTCCCACTGTTCGGTTCAGAATTTGGATCCTGGGCCTGGCAGGTAGGGCTGGAAGGTGTGGGGTGGGGTGGGAGAGTGAAGAAAAAAAAGAAAGGAATTCCACAGACAGATAATAGAACGTTTGCGATCTTAAATGACAACATAGAACTTGAATATGATACCCTTGTAGAATGCTGTCAATAGTTCATATGTACCAAATCGTGCTCCAACACTTGGTATCCTCCCTAGCATCAACCACCCAAGACCTCTGTACAGACCTAAATGTTAAGAAAAGAGCAAACAGTTAAAAACATTGGAAGATAGGTTGTAGATACATAATACAGATAGAGTTGGAGAACACTCTCAACAACAAAACACAAACAAGAATGGAAAGGTGAAGCACAAAGATGATGAAAGTAACAAGACTAAAAAACTGATAATCTAATTAAGGTGTTTATTTACTCCATTTCAGCATCTATTTCCCAGCTGAAACATCCAAATTATCGTTTCTGCACCACATATTTATGATAAGCAGAAAACTCTTTTTCATCACCCTATGAGTGGTAAAGTTGAAATATATTTGCATGAGCATAAGGGGGAGAACAATAAATTCATGCCTAATATTATCTCGTGAACTTTTAAATACTAACCATTAAGAATTCTAAGCCTTCCCTTAATCTGCTTTAGAGATGTTATTTGCAAAGTTTTGTTATAGAAACTACACAGGCAAAATTTATAAGCTCAAATTAAAGCAAGACATCATTTTTGCTTACCAAAAGACAGGCAGAATTGAAGTTACCTGAAATCCCTGAGAATGCTTGAACTCTCTGAACAACCTTAGCTGGTCTTAATTGTTTACTTGGAACTGATCCAACCTGTGTAGTCACTCAACCCAAAAAACAGCGCATGAACATTGGAAACTGATTACTTTTCAGGCCACCTTAGTTTTCACATAATGATACTACTTAATTCTAGCTTATAAGATACCTAAGTGATCACAAAATATGCATTCTTGAACGTTTGTTACATCTTTTGTAGTAGTTCAAATAACCTAAAACTGATTCACAAGAAACAGGCAATTACACGTACAAGTAAACGTATTGTTTACTGAAACAGTAATTTTAAAAACTTCGTCATCAAACTTGGAACCTGTATAAGGGCTTTAAGGGTATCAAGCGGGTAAGTGAGAACAGTTCCCAGTGCCACAGACCCAGCAGCTGCAACAGCATGGGTGGCAAACAAGTTATTCTTCAACAGCTCATCCATCTGCCAGATTTAGTGAAAGACAAGATAGTAATGTCAGTACGTCATCCTGGTTACCAGGTCGTCCGGGATTGTAGTAACTTGTCCAATTCTTCGGGTAGAAAACCACTGAGGTATTATGTCAAACACATGATGTGCACCGTGCTACATAGTACATACCTCAAAGATGTAACGGAAAGACAATAGCTTTCGCCGTCCAATACAGACTTCAGAGTAACTCAAGTCACCGTCGTCGGTGATGGACTAATGGGTTTGTAACGCGGTGAATATGTTTCATTGTCGAAGCTCAGAGCTAGCTTTTCTTAGTGCCCCCTTCTTCTTAGGCGTGGGTTTAAGAAGTGAAAAACGCTATCAGCAAATCAGCACAAGCTTCAGAACGCCCCTGTTGTTCGGTTTGTTAATTGGTTGAACCGGGAGCTCATAAAGTCCTGGATATCCATAATACTAATCAAAATCAAAAGCAAAAGAACACGGAACATGCATTAATTTGAAAAATAAAAAATAAAAAGAACTGAAGGTTCGACACTCCAGATTCCAGATGCCTAAACTCTCGAATTTGGCCGGATGTTTGGTTTGAGAGCTCGTGCGCTGACCTTGGATTAACGCAATATACTCACTTTCGGCGGTTAATTTTGCGATTTTTACCACTAAATTAAATAGAAATCTTACTGTAAAAAAAAAGCATGCATCGATATGATTTGAACAGTTCAAAACTAGAGGTCGAAGTTCATGAGTAGAAAACTCGAACTCAAAATTCGAACCGTGGTTGAGATGGTCTGAGTCATTTATGCCTTCTGTGATTCCACCGGATACTTTGATGACCGTAAAAGTTCTAAGATACCTCTGTAGTACTACAAGCCTATATATACAAAAGCGGCATTTGATTACCCAACTTTTGGTTTTGCATTTGGTAATCCACATGCAGTAATAATCGCAAGGCAATTTGCAACAACATATCTTTTTTTTTTTTTGTCAAAAACATATCTCAGTAGTGAAGCTACTATGGACTATAGTTGTTTAAGAAGCAATAATATAATTGCAAAGGTTGCTCCTCTACTCCTACTCTTTGGCTGGTTCTCGATGTCTTGCGCTCTTCTGTCAGGCTTACTGCACTTTGATTCTTGCCACTTCCAAAGCTCATGTGGAACATCTGCAATTCACAGGGCACTATTCTTATATGCAATTTCAAGAATGGCCAACACCGAGGACAAAATCTTCTCATTTCTTGTTCTTACCGCTGCAGGCAACTGATACTGCTATAGGAACCAGATGAAGATGCCTTGATACGAAATTTCATTTCCTTCCCTTCTTTGTTTATATGACTACAATGGATTTGGTCACAGTATTCAGCTGAAGATGGAATGTAGATTTTTTTTCTTTGTCCTGGTAGCACACACCCATTTCCTCGGGGTTTCAAGGTCATCTCCTGCGACAGTAGGTATATGCCAACTACCTTGTTCTGACTCCTGCAACCACAACACACATTTATCAAGACCCATGACATTATGGTATTTGAACATGAGAAGATAGCAGGAGTCAGACGTCTAGCAGAATAAAGATAGTTGCATATCAAGTCACCTGAATAACTATCGAATAAGGTGGAGGCATATGAAGGGTAAGTCCAGGTCTTGCGGGAGTTAATCTCACCTGCCAATTAACAACATCAAAGACAACAATGAGGAAATGTTATACTGCTACTGATGAACAAATTTGTCCGCACATGATACTAACTAAACCAATTGAATCAGGATTTTTTTTCTTTTTTTGCCATCCAAAGGAAACATCAACATGAGACACAAAATAAATAAATAGCTTTCCGAAGATTGACATTCAGCTATGGCTTTGGAAGATGAACATAATAAGTTACATGAAGATCAAAACCTTTCAACCTAAGCATAGATCTTGTGAAATGAATAGACAAAATCCAGAATCCACGACTTATCTTTTTTCACTTCTTTACTTCCACCAGTTACAACTCCCCGCATGGATTGTGGCTTTTATTTTTCATACATCAAATTTGGATTTCCCTGGCTTCCAACTTCAACAGACTAATGCCAAGGAAACCCACACCACCCCCAAAAAAAAAACAAACACACACACAACACAAAAAAAAAAGAGTTTCTAATGGAAAAGTATAAGTACATTGTTCTCCCATGAGCAAGATATATAGCACATAAATTCCATGCAAGCTGTCAATTAGTTCAGTGGAAAGTCTCAATATATCATGTTTGCCTCGAAAGTGCAGAATAGTCCATGTCACAAGTATGGTCGTCTATTTTATCCTGCTGAAAGTCTCACCAAAGAAGAATGACTAACTTTTCTGTAAGATTTTTCCAAAACTCAAATTTCAAAGATGAAAGAACACATTCAAATTGCACAATAATAAAAATACCCAGGACATTGCACTTGGCAACCACCAGGATCTATCAAATTTACTTCCTCCCTTTGTTCCAACCCACCAAAAAAAAAAAAAAAGACTCCGTCCACTTTGTCTAAGGTAAAAGAAGTACAACCAAGTAAGGACAGCCATATGCAATAGGTAATGATTGATAGTAGAAACTATTGAGTTTCAGTTTTCTCTTTTCTTGTCTGTTAACAGTTTATCTAAAGGTTATCTGTCATTCAAAGTTGATAGGAAAAAGGTAAAACCTGATGCTTCTCTTTCCATCTTGGGAAAAAGCTAGTCCCTAGTAGTTGGAATAAATGGTCCCTCATCTCATCGTTTGTCACCAACAAACATTTACAACTAACAGCAGCATATAACCAATACCTGGAAAATATGAGATGCAAAACACGACTAAGAACCATCAGCTTTTCATCAAGAATTGGCAACGTGAGGAATTCATCACCAAATAATTTTCTGACTGAATGATAATTATAGTCTCAACAAACATCTTGAACTCGTAACTGATTGACTCATATGGGACAAAGTACATGCAGCAGAAATCCTACAAAACAAGTTTTTGACAAAGGAATTCTGCATATTGGAGCCAAAATTCAGCATACTAATGAAGTTTGATTGACTTGGACTTGATATGAAGTAATAAAACCAAAATTATCTCAACCTCCGAGCAACAAGTGGTAGTATCAGAACTTATATTGTATCTCGGATAACAACCCTTGTGTTGGAGATCATTAGCCGCTTATCATCACTGGCTGATGACGAAAGTAATAACTGAACCTAAGTATCGTGATAGGGTTTTTTACAACTTCAATTATTCCATTGGTTATGAGCGCTTCAGGAAAACATAAGCTTTGCAACAACTGCAGTTGATTATCATCTGAGTAATCTTGGACACGTGTCAAATGAAAACAAAAGTACTATCTGTCTTATTCAGGTTGGAACTCAGCAGATTCATCTGCTTCTCAGCTCTTCAAGACAATTCGAGTAAGATCAGCAAAGCAAATAAGAACCCTCTAAAAGGAATTTGCATTATAGAAAACTCTAGAATATGCAGCTCAAGATTAAACACTGAAGCAAGCAGAACAAAGTATAGTAATCAAAACTAAAACTTAAATTACCGTGTAGACGGAATTGGTGTTAGAAATGTATAAGACATGAGGCAAAAGAAATGAGTATTACCAATCGTCGTTTGAACCAGGAGGAGTAGCATAAAGTGCACCGGCATTTCTCCAACTCTCCAACAATTTCTTGTTATTAGGGTACTGAGCAGGACCACCAAACACGCGGCTTCTGTGCAAAATAACAAGTGGCAATCTATTTGACTTGCTCATTTGGCGTAACTGATTCACAACATGTTTCAGCTGTACCAAGAAAGAATTTGAAAAAGGCCAAAGGTCGTTGAAAGACAATCTCAATGTATAAAGATGTTCAACAGATTTAATGTTTCCACTTGTGTTTTTTATGACAAATTCAAGAGATGAAGTTCCCACAAACTTAACTCCCCTAAACTAGGTTTAACTACTCTGTTAATGCTCTCCAACAACTAACACAGGAATGAAAAAAAAAATCTTTCATTACCTGCTGGAAACTGAAATGTTTTTGATTAATGAGGCCAAGATTTGCCCCGTCTATCACTGCATCAAAAGGTCCATGCTTTGCGAGCCATTCCTAGAGGGTGCACCTTCCATATTAGTATGACAAATACTATCGATATACTGAAGCATATAAAAGGATATAGCAGCTATCTGGATCAACTAACCGTATAGGGGCAAAATACAGAAAAAGCAGCAAGCACAAATATCATTCCACTGAAGCACCTATAGATTCAATAAAGTAACATCATACCTGAAATTTCACAAAATCCGCCCTTACTTCTCTCTCACAAGCCAGTTTAGCCACTGAATTAGCAAAATTCTCCGTCTCCTTAGGATCAATATCAATGCAAACAAGCTTCTCTCCACATGAATGACATACTCCGTTCTCCTGCATTTCAGTCCTAACCACACTCCATTTCCCTTTCCCCAGCCACCCTTGCCCGTGCCAGCCGCCTCCTCCCTTCACTATGCCTTCCTTCACCTTTTCCACATCCCAATTCTTCAATCCAGCATCAGCAGCAGTCTCTGACTTAAACCAATCCTCCATAGCACCTGCAGTCTCCTCTGATACCTGTCTAACTGTAGACCTCATCCTATGCATAAATTCATAAGTTTTCTCGACTAAATTTTCCTCGGAACTAAGCCTCAATAGGGCCAAAAGCTCCTCCTCCTCGGCTAAAACACCATTCTCAACCATATGAGCATCAACCTCAAAAGCCTTATCCGCCATTGATTTCTTACAAAACCCAAACAATGCAGGTCCATAAGACCTCAATTTCGGAACAATCCCGTAACTCTTCATTTTCTTAACCAAATCAAAAGCCATTTCTGGGTCTTCTTTAGCAGCTGCTAATCTTGCAGCGCTAGTAAAAGTTGCCTCATTTGGGACAACATTATCCAACCCCATTTGATTAAAAATTTGAAAGCCCTTTTCTAAACTAATATCGTCGCTGCTATTACTTCTAGCAGAGCACAAATAAAGCAAAACATTATAATGGTGAACGCTGAGGGGAACATTATCGGCCCTTGCCTCATCGTAAATGCGAAGGGCCTCGCCTAAATCACCGCGCTTAGAGCACTGATCGAGCTTGTGACGCAGCAGGGATTCGCTGCGGGCTTTCTTCCTGGACTTATGGGGTATTGCTGAAGAAGAGGAGGAGGGGCCTTGAAGGATGGCTGATGCGGTGCATAAATTGGTAGTCTTTGTCATGGAAAAGGTACTCTGGGGTTGGAACTTAGCATGGATTGTTATGGGTTTCAGGGATTTGAAACAGTTGGGACCTGTGTAGGAAGAAAGGGCTGAAGGGGTTTTGCAGAAAAGATGGAAGAGAGGAGAGGTTTTAATCAGAGCCATGCGATGCGTCATCCCTGGGAAAGTGGGGAGACTTGTAGCTCTTTCTCACTATTGCGCAAGGTATATAAAGGTTACACCTTTTCTTTTTTAACAAGACAAAAAATAGATTACTTTCACTATGCATTTGAGGTGTCCTCGGATGCGTCAAGTTCCACGTATCACCCCCATAACGTTTAACTCAAATTACAGTGGAAATTTAAGCGGTAAGTTTCGTAACATGTTATGTAATTTGTAGATGACTAGGAGGGGATCACCGCGCACTACGCGCGGTGTGAGTTTGCAAGGTTAGTGTACCCAGAGCTGAGGTTGCAAGGTTAATATACCCAGAGCCCTCAATGGCTGCATTTTCCAATTAAAAATCATTTTTATATAATTTTCTGTGTGTGGTTGATAATTGAAGCATTTTGTCGACATTTCAGTTGTGATTAATTTAGGTGTAAACCAAAACAGATAAGAGTTAAATAATAATAATAATAATAAAGTTGAAGAGTATAATAACACATATAATTGAGGTAGGCTCTCCCAATGCACTATGCATGTCATTAATTGTGAAAAAGAAATAAGTCACAATTTAAGATACATTCATCGAAAAGTGCTCTCTTGCAGCTATATCTAGAAAAATGCCTCTAGTCTTTACTTGATCAGCGTCTAGAGCAGTCAGCCAATTCTGTTGGAACTATGCAATAGTGCTGAAAAATTAAAAAGAACTATCACAAAATTTGATATCTATACTATAGTAAGTGATTCTGGAAGTAAATAATGACTATTTGCTAAAGATAGTAGAGAGAAGGGAAAGTATCCAGCATTCATGACAAAACTTCATTAGCTTCCAAGTTTCCACCATCTAAACATCATTCAAATCCTATCAAAAAAGAATCATATTTGAATTTAACAACCACGACTAGAATGACAATCTAGTTAAACCACTGATAATGCGCCAGCAGTTTTTGCCATGCTTCGTTGCAAAATTTCAAGAAGCTACTAAAGTACCAACGAAAAAAATAAAGCCATCAAGAGCACATTCCATACTCCTAAGTTTGAGCTATCATTATATTTGAACAAGGACCTCTTGCCACTCAAACTTTTTCTCAAACATTAATCCTCGACGAATAAATAAAGAATCGAAAGCAAATAAACAGCATATCCATTTTGAGCAACCATCATATATTTGAATAATACGTCTTGCCAGCCAATTTTTCCTCAAAACATGAATGGTAGATAAATAAATAAAGAATAGAAAGGCAAAAAATAGCTTATACATTTTGGCCTATAAATCATGGAGATACCTATCATTCATGCCACCTTTTTACCAACACAACATGAATGAAAAATAGAACATCAAGCTAAACCAAAAGGAAAAGTGCAGAAAATTTCAAATAGTGGAAGCTAAAAGTTGAAAATACGTGCATATTATCATTTCATCATTCAAATCAGAGAAACAGAGAAACAGAGAAAGGTGAACTGCATAACAAAAATTCTTTCACTTTTATCTATTTAGCAAAAAATGTGAAACACAAAGAAAAGCGTGCTTTCACTGTGAATTTTGACAATATTATCTATCCCAGATGTAAATAGTCAAGTCCATAAATTGTTAATTAGGCATATAACAAAACAAACTGTTGATAATTTTTAATTCGAGCATGTTACCTCATGTAGTTCACTTTGAACCCATCTCGAGTAAAGTTCACTAATTTCAGTGCCGGATATTATTGCTCAAGATTTACAAGGCTCTATCCTCACAATAGACCATCGAATGCAGTCCTTTGAAAGTAGCATAACTGCAGCAATGCCCATCCCTATTTCTCCAATAAATAAAGTTTACAAAAAATAAAAAGCAAAATGCTTCATTTATCTAATTCTTCAGAACCCAACCGACCAAAAAAGGAAGAAACCAAATGCAGATACCTAAAAAGGTCTCAGTTAATCCCTTGTCATGACTAAACAGCTATAAAACATGCAATTTAACATTACCAAAACCCATCATTATGAACATGTTATCTTCCTATTGCCGTAAAGAGAAAAAAAATGAGGAGAAAGAATTTCTACCCAAATAACACTATGTGAGCAACACAGGGTGTTTTTCTTTCTTGTTTTTGGGTTGTGAAGTAGGAAAAAAGAAAGGCCCCGAATAGATTTTCCAAACTAACCAGTCTTTGTGTACTTAAGTAAAAAAGTATTCACTATTTTTTATAAAAAGCAACCATCAAATATCATATTTACTTCTCTATTAAGACGTACAGGCTTGCAAGACCTCTCAAATACTTGAGATATTTAGTTAGATATTTCATTCTAACTTCATATAGTTTCTGCACTTGAGCATAAAATTTCTAAAAAATTTAAAGCACATTGACAAAAGCCCATTTGGGTCACTATATAAATTGTACCAAAGCATCAAGCAATTTCTCTAGCATGATGAAAATAGTATAAAGCAAAAGGAAAAAGCTAAAACTTTGTCACAAGTAAAACATCATATAATGAAAGAGCTATAACTGCAAACCAAGGTAGCACACCTGAGAATTTCTGGCATAGCTCGCTAGAGATTTTTTCAAAGGTTAAAACAACCAATAAAAACATTAGAAATTGACATGATCCGAAGATTATAATACAAATGGAAAAAAAGGAATCAGTGATCAAAACTTTAATTAAATTAAGCAGTTATTATGATAATTTAAAGTAAGGCTCAGGTCTATTGGCAAAAGTCAGGCAGAGATGAGAGTACCGCCATGGCTGCAGACCCAATTGCATTTCAAGGGGAGAATGAAAGCCAAATGCCATCAGGGTTGCCTCGCCAAGATATGGCAATCAATTTAAAACCTGAAATACATCTAAAGAAACCAAAATTATATCATCATAGCCCAATTGGAAATAAAATAAATTAGTCTATTTATAGCTTTCATTTGCTGTAATACTCCAGCCAGAAAGTTACACCCTTTTCCAAAAAAATTACCATCCATCCCTGTAATAACCTAGCAAGAAACAAAAGGAAACACAAAGAAATAGTCAGATCAAAAGGAAAATTAAGAGCAAATTGCTCATGAATAGACACATTTATGCAAAAAAAAAAATGGAAGGATAAACCAATATACACCATTCAAGAAATGTCAAACTGAGAAATTCTTGACAACATTAGTTCAGATTACAAAAAAACTTAAAATTTGAATGGCCCTGCAAATTGTCAAAATCTTAAAACAAAAAAGTGACTATTGAACTCCCTTTGCACCTCTAAATAAGTCTTTAGAATTACTGACATGAAATTGACTTTCTCAAATCTTAGTTATGTTTGTCCTATAGAACCCATCTAAACTTTGGAATTCTAGGTTAAAGAAATGCATCAGAGAATTATTACTGGCCATAAAAATATTAGTATTAACTGCTATACATCCGTACTTATATGAAAATTAATCATGAAAAGTGTAAGAGAAAATGGTAGCATAGACATAAAATGATAGGAAATTTCACTGATGAAGAGCTATGCTTTACCTATCTTATTTTGGTTGCCTAGAGTTCAGAGGTTCAAGATCTTCCAAAAAATTCTGAGAAGAATGTCTCAAATTGGTACTTTCCATTCATAAGGAAAACATTCACAGAGCAACAAGCTTTAAAAAAGTTATGGAAAAAATGATATTCTGTAAAATGAAAAGAAAAAAGAAAGCCATGACCTCTAGTGGTAATGTCTTTCACAACCCAATAAGTCTATGATTTGGTAAAACTCATTGAGTTCTTTGTATAATACAATAGCACCAAAAATTTGAAGTGTTTTTCGCAACATGATCATAGTCTGTACAAAGAAAAAAGGGGAAAAAATCTCAAAGCTGTTTCAAAAATAAATACCGTACATATATGAGACAATTCAAAAGGTATCCACCATTCAAAAATAATGTATTAGCAGCATGCAAATAATGAAGGACCTAAGGCTAAAATTAAAGAACAACCCTATCCAATAGTGACCACCCTTCAATCCAAAAGCCGAAAAAAAGGAAAAATATAGCATTGTTAACTTGAAAATCTTACTATTCCATGAACTGGTTTTAGAATGATTGAATCTTGATTTGTTCACGCCTTTAATGTAGTGATGTATGTTAATAACATAACAAAAAGTACGGAAAAAAAGATAATTTAAGAAAATGGGATCTGAATGCAAACGAATCCTAACATCTTCCTGTTATTTCAGCTGCAAAAAATTAAGTATACCTTTTCAACAAATGAAGAAACTAGAAAGACCAACAGATCATATCAAATTTTTTATTGCTACAAAGATAGAAACCATTTTAGGGACCAGTAAATCTACTATAATTTAGACTATTCGCAGAATGTTATCCCCATTAGACGATTAGAAGCCAATCTTAGCTTCTCAGAACCAAATCAACAGGAATTTTATTTTAAAAAATTGGAATTTTTGTAAACTAAAATAAATAAATGATGTTCTCGTAAAAGAAAAGGGAAAGGCAAGATTTGAAGAGGTATTGAAAACAAGTATCTAAATTAGTAGGGCTCTATCATCACTTACAGTGCTGTTGGCTGTTTGTCAAAGAAACCCCAAAAACTAAGAAGGCACCAAATATTTTCTTGTTAAGGATTCAAATACCGAAAACCTGAAAAAAAAAAACCAAATATTTTCTTGTTAAGGATTCAAATACCGAAAACCTGGAAAATTACAACCAAAACTTAATTTACCAAAATAAAAACATGAAATCTACAAACTTTTCCCACCTGCAATCACAAAAAAAAAAAAGGTCAAGTTCAGATCAGATAAGTAAAAGGAGAAAACAACATGAACAGAAAATTTAATGAAAGAAAAATCTCAAAATGTTCAGATTCAATAGCTAAAAGGATTTCAGATTTGTCTCTATCACTTGCTTATCACATGCATAGATAGAAAAATGGTGAAAGGAAGAAGAGGTTTTTGACCAAAAAAATAATAATAAGAGAGAAGAAGAGGAGAGGAAGACGATCAAGCAGATGCAGAAACATCTAAAGGCCTTTTATATTGCAATGTAAAAAAAAATAAACAACATTAGTTTGCTCCAAAAGCTACAACTAAACTCCTCATCTCGCTCAAAAAAAGGGAAAAAATTAAATGGCTAGATTATTTTTGGCAGAGGAAGAAAGAAGCTCGGAGCAAAAAATTATTTTTTTTCTTCTCACCAAGACAGATAGAAGATAAGAAGATGAAGATGATGTTGAAAAAAAAAAGATGGAAGAATGAAGAGTGAGATGATGATCATGAAGAAGGAAAAGATCAGGGGCGTCTCGGTGATGCTGAAGAGTGAGGGACCATGGACTGAGAGGAGAGGAAAGGACTGTTCAGAATTCTGAAGCATGGAGTAGTCAATTCTTACCAAACCCACGTGGGTTTCTTTAGGAAGCAAAGAAAGGAAAAAGAAAATAAAGGTGCGAAAGTGGGTTGAAGGAAACGGACAAACACAGTCGGTGGCTAACAAACGCAATTCACAGCCCAATTGCAAGCAGCAGCTCACGTGAACGGCGCATGGCGGACGACAACTTTTCAGCAAATCACCAATTGACATGTCAGCAAAAACACACACCTTCGGGCAAGTTCCTAAGCACTTAGTCTACCTTAGGTTGACAAGGTGCTACAGCAAGCCAGAATATACCAATTGGTTCTGTCAGTTGAAAGTTGAAACGTTGGAGGTTATGGATTTTATTACGAGTCCAATTGAAGGCGTTGCTTTTGACAGAAAAAAAAAAAATTGAAGGCGTTGCTATTGCAAAGAAAAACAGAAGCTCCTCCTCCATGAACTTGATGCGATAAAGTCCCATAACCATGTAAGCTTTGCCATTTTCCATTAATTTGCATGTTTGATTAAAGGCAACGGAAATAGATTATGTTCTTCATCCTACCTAAATCGCGCCCATCTTGCAACCCATTGGGCCATTGTGTCCTAACTCCTAAACAAGAATATCCGCAGAAGGACTTTGAGGCCAGCCTTTGACTTTGAAAGTTGTCCAGCCAAAGGGTACAGTGTGTCTTCCGCCAAGAGAAGAACAAGTCGAGATCTTTCTCCATCACCCGTCTTCATCCCACTTACGCTTGTCTCCCGCGCTCTGTACTATGTAGGATGATATTACATGGATTGGAATCTAAACTCCGTGGTTTCTGCCCCCAAAATATCTCTATACTTACAACTGACAACCACAAGCTCATTTGAGTGAGCGACCAGCACCAGACCAGCAGTGAGTGACTACTGATTTGAGACTAGAGATGGGTCACGGCAATTCGAAAGCCGGGATGGAGTCGTCTTCAGATGAATCAGCAAGAGGTGATGGTTCTTCTCGGGCTGACAGGATCAAGAAAAAGCTTCATCTAAGCCGCTCCCATTTCCGTCGTCACCACCGCCATGCCGGCGCCACTGTCTCCTCTGCACATAACCTCACTAAACTCCTCAAAGAAGAGGATTTTGCGGGCATCGCCCTTCTTCGTCTCATCACTGTATTTTCCGTCTTCAAGTTTCTTTTTTCTTCATTTTATACTATATATCAATTAATATTAGTACTTATTATGATTATTACCGGTGTTTACTTTTAGTCTGATTTTTATTTTTTTGGAAAGGCTGAAATGCAATTCAAGGACAAATGGCTGGCTTGTGTTACTCTTGGAGAGCAGACCTTTAGAACTTGTGTAACTGATCAGTTAAGTAGTAGTCGTGAAAAAATTTGTCTGTGTTTATTTTTTTGAGTATGATGCCTTAACCGTGCATGCTAAATGATCTAGACTTAAAACTAGTATGAGAGATATTTAGATTATTGCTGGCGTTTAGCATATAGGGAATAGTAAATCCCTACATACAGGATTCATCTCTTTGGATTAGATGGTTAGATTGGTGGAACATGCAAATGGGTTTTCTATTGTTGGATTTTTGTGGGATTAGAACCTCATATGACTTGTCCGATTGCTGGTGGTAGAGAAACACTAAATGGAAGAATATTAGCATGAGTTCTTCTTTACATCTGATGAAGTCCTCAAATTAGGATCCATTTTCTCCTTCCATTTGTCTTGTATTCTGTCCCTTATCGAGCGTAAAAAGTAGTCGAAGCATCATGTCCATAGAGTGCTACTGATAGTCTGCATATTCCTGCATGTGCTAGGAGGCGTGACCAAGTGTCTTGTGGGAGTCACTGGGGCAATCTTGCAGTTGCCTTCAGTCTTAAGGCCCTCAGCGCTCACAGGACTATTAGTGGTCTCAGTAGCCTTTGCTCCTTAGGCAAGGTTTAGTGACTTGGGAGTAGGATCCAAGTTTCTCTTGTGAGACACTGCGCTGATAGGTAGGTCATGAGCCAACAGGGATGAATTGGCATTGTGGACTAGAGGCTAAGACTAGGACTTTGCTAGTCTCAGTGTGGCAATCTCTTGCCATCGTCCTTAGGTCAGCATGGCAGGTCTGAGCTCAACGACTGGGACTGATGGTTTTGCACACTTGGGGAAGGTCATCTAGATTGCAGGCTTATTGCTGATATTTAGGTTACTTAATTCAGCCAAGCAAAGGTTCAGTTACTCGTCCCAAGGAAACGCAAGTATAGGAGTTTACAGAAAAGATTTGATCTTTATTTTTTTTTTATTTTTAAAACTTTTGGTATTCATTTGTTTTGTTTGCAAATCATAGAAAGGGCTCCCCGAGATAGCAACAGGTGGTTGCTATTGATGGAAAGTTGTTGCTTATAAATTTTTGTGGCATTATGCTTGCAAAATTCAGTGGCTTTTTGGTTGAAAAAATGTGTTAGATTATTGTAATTACTATTTGTGGTTGGTGAGAAACTATATATTAAGAAGGGTGTTTTTTCTTTGGATGGAGGTGAAGATGTCACGTGCATGTGATAAATGGAAATCAGTCATTTGATTGGAGCAGTTGTAATCAGGGAGAAACAATAGGTTAAGAGGTTAATTTTCCTTTACATGGAGGTGAAGATGTCATATTGACATGATAAACAGAATGAGTCATTTGATTATGTTCCTTTGTGATGACTTGGAAATTTTATTCTTATATTACTTGTTTCTTCTTAGGCTATCCTCCTGTCTTACATGTTTTGTATTTTTAACAACAAAGAATCGTTATCTACCTAATGGACATGTTTGAGATTGCTCATCTACTGAAATTGTTATTCCTTGATGTTTTCTTCTGTTTGTGAGATTCAAATTTTTCATGTGCATGTGCTGACCCTGTTTTATTGATTGAGCAGGACTGACAAGCCCACATGGAATTCTGTAAGTAACTTGAAGCAGTATGGTCTTTGGCACTTGAACTTTCATTGCAGCTAGTATAAATTCATCCATCAATGTATTTAGCTCACTTCAAAAGCATATTTGCTGAGCAGTCTGTTAACATAAACTCTTAGTCAAGTTGATGTAGGCATTTGTGGTTCTAGAAGAATGTACTTCATTAGTGACAGTTAAAATTTAAAAACGAAGACTATTTGTAGGATACATGACTTCGTTGGTTAAGATATTCAGTGGTCTCCTTTGTTTTTGAATTGACGTAAGTTTTCAGCAGGAGTTGGGGAAGCCTTAGGATGTTGTTTTGGATCCTCTTGTCCATGCTGAAAAATGAATTCTAGATTTTTGAGAGAGTTTAGTTTTTTGTTCGCAAAGGTTAACTGATGTTGAAAATGTCACTGAGATCATGTAATTTTTAAATTAATTTTCTATGTATTATTCCCTCTCTCTTTAATGCGTGTTGTCACTTGATTTGTGGCTTATTACTTGATAAAGAGAGAAGAAGATTGCTAAACCATGTGTTGACCTTTTAGAGAGAAGCTGGTGGTGGGGAGGAGAAGGAGGTCTTATGTTAGTAATGTCTTTATGTACAATTCTGTGGCTTTTGATTCATTACTGTTTCAGCAATTGTAATCTTCCTTTCTCCCTTTTGACTTCCTATCAGGAGTTATTATGCATCCAGCCTTTTTAACCAAAGTAACTGCTTTTATACTGTAAATCATTAGGGGGAAAATTTAGGTTGCAAAGTTTTCTCTTTTCGTCACAATTACTGCATATAAATATCGTGATGTTCTTCTTTACAGGAGAAGAAGCTTCTTTTGGAAAAAAATGGGGCACATATAGCAAGAATATCTGTATTTGAGGTGTGTAGAATCAGTGCCTTTGTTAAGGTTTGGTATTTGACTATTCTTCTGGATATAAGTGGGAAACATGTCAGATTTGGTAGATCTGATACTGATCGACAGTAATCTCTATACTGACAATTAAGTGATGGACCATATAAGATGTTTTGAATTTCTTTTTACTTGTGAAATCTCCTATTCTTTTTTGGCTCTGAGCAGAACTTTTCCTGATGCTGAAAATTTTATTAAGTGGTCCTATTTGCGAGGCTGCAAATACCCAATGTTTAGATTTATCCTATTTAGATTTCTATAGTAAGAAGAAGTTTATTGCTTTCTTCTCGAATGCTTAAGTGAAACAATTTTCATTTTTTTTTAGTTTTTCTTTTTCCTTACCTTACATGAACTTTGAATTTCATTGTTTATTTGCTAGAAATATGTTTAAGCATTTTTGTCTAAACTATCATTGTTTAATTGCCAGAAAAATGTTCGAACTTTTTTGTCTAAACTGTCATTGTTATTTGTTGTCTCTCTATGCTGTATCTTCAAATGGCTAGTGATCTCTGTATGTTTTGGTTCACTGTTTTTTGCTGTGATGCAGACAAATAGATTGTCCAAGAACAATCTTGTCGGCTATTGTGAGATCGATCTACTTGAATTCCTCACTCAGGTGAGAATATACATCATCTGTCGGTGAGAGTGTCCTTAATGGACTATATGTTGACAAATGTCCCTTGATTTGTTTCTGGAAGAAAATGAATGGACGCTTGATGAATGTTGCAAGTTCCAAGTTCAGCTTAGACAGTCATGCAGAACAAACGATCTAGTATCTTGATGATTACTGTGCATTCATGTTTTCAAGTAAATAAAACTAGCTTGTTATAAATAAATATTCAGTTCATTTTGAGTTCTGTTTCTCCATTTGACTATTTGTGTCTTTCTTTCTTCTTTTGTTTGTTGTTTTAACTCTTTTTGGGAGTTTTTAAAGATTTAAGGAAGCTTAACTCAGAATTTAATTCTCCCTCTCTCTCGTTCTCTCACTCCTGTATATTTGGTGGTACATTGCCTGTTATTAAAGGATCATGAATGTGGAGCCTATGGCAAGGAGGCATCTCTCAAACAATAAGACATGATAAAAACTTATTAAACATTCTAATACATGTTTATGGGCATTTACACTCACCTAATGGAGAAAAAAAAATTTTCCCCGAATTGAATAATAGATTCAAATTTAGGATGAGATTTATAAAATGTGCATGCACACGTGCAGTTACCCAGTGAAATATAGACCAGTTATATGAAACTTCTACACTGTTGATCTGGAAAAGTCAGTTTTATATTTAGCATGGGTTAGAGATGAACTCAAAAAAGAACCATTGATGGATTGCAAACATTTATGAAAGTGGTTGGAATTTGCTGGAGTTTAGGAGTTCTTGAAGATAAGAAACAACAGCGAAATATAATTGAATAACCAAAAGAAAAGAAAGGAA